GCAAAATTCCCCCAATCCTGACACGAGTTCCACCGAGCTTTTGGGAGGAACCTCCAGGAGGATTCACGGCAAAATTCCCTCAGTCCTGCCACGAGTTCCACCAAGGTTTTGGGAGGAACCTCCAGGAGGATTCACGGCAAAATTCCCCGAGTCCTGACACGAGTTCCACCAAGCTTTGGGCAAGAACCTCCAGGAGGATTCATGGTAAAATTCCCTCAGTCCTGAATGAGTTCCACCGAGCTTTGGGCAGGAACCTCCAGGAGGATTCATGGCAAAATTCGCCCAGTCCTGAATGAGTTCCACCGAGCTTTGAGAGGAACCTCCAGGAGGATTCATGGCAAAATTCCCTCAGTCCTGAATGAGTTCCACCGAGCTTTTGGGAGGAATCTCGAGGAGGATTCATGGCAAAATTCCCTCAGTCCTGACACGAGTTCCACCAAGCTTTGAGAGGAACCTCCAGGAGGATTCACAGCAAAATTCCCTCAGTCCTGACACGAGTTCCACCGAGCTTTGGGGAGGAACCTCCAGGAGGATTCATGGTAAAATTCCCCCAATCCTGACACGAGTTCCACCGAGCTTTGGGCAGGAACCTCCAGGAGGATTCACAGCAAAATTCCCTCAGTCCTGAATGAGTTCCACCGAGCTTTGGGCAGGAACCTCCAGGAGGATTCATGGTAAAATTCCCTCAGTCCTGACACGAGTTCCACCGAGCTTTGGGCAGGAACCTCCAGGAGGATTCACAGCAAAATTCCCTCAGTCCTGACACGAGTTCCATCAAGCTTTGGGAGGAACCTCCAGGAGGATTCATGGCAAAATTCCCTCAGTCCTGACACGAGTTCTGCCGAGCTTTTGGGAGGAACCTCCAGGAGGATTCACAGCAAAATTCCCTCAGTCCTGAATGAGTTCCACCGAGCTTTGAGAGGAACCTCCAGGAGGATTCATGGTAAAATTCCCTCAGTCCTGACACGAGTTCCACCGAGCTTTTGGGAGGAATCTCGAGGAGGATTCATGGCAAAATTCCCCCAATCCTGACACGAGTTCCACCGAGCTTTGGGCAGGAATCTCCAGGAGGATTCACAGCAAAATTCCCTCAGTCCTGGCACGAGTTCCACCAAGCTTTGGGCAGGAACCTCCAGGAGGATTCACGGCAAAATTCCCCGAGTCCTGGCACGAGTTCCACCGAGCTTTTGGGAGGAACCTCCAGGAGGATTCACTGCAAAATTCCCCCAGTCCTGACACGAGTTCCACCGAGGAGGAACCTCCAGGAGGATTCACGGCAAAATTCCCCCAGTCCTGACACGAGTTCCACCGAGCTTTGAGAGGAACCTCCAGGAGGATTCACAGCAAAATTCCCCCAGTCCTGACACGAGTTCCACCGAGCTTTGGGAGGAACCTCCAGGAGGATTCGTGGCAAAATTCCC